AGTGTTCTTTTTTTTTTTTTGGCATAGATGCTATTTACTACTTAATCTTCAAGCTTTTGCTAATTAGACTTAGTTGAATAATAATATCTTGTGCTCAGGTTGGTTTATCAAGATAATTTCTTTCATTGGGATACAATTCACTTAATTTACTTTGATTTGGCTGTTTTATTTCCATGTTTCTCAAAGTCCGGAAGAGTACATGCCACAGAAAGATTGACCTAGTCAAAGAATTATATAGCCGAACATTTTGTTGTAAATACTACTGTACAGTGGTGATTGACCTAATAATCAGGGAGTTGAAAGATTATCTGAAAGGGATGTGGTCTCCATATATATCCAAAGCTACACTTAATCTCTTCTTAGACAGTCCCCAACCCCATCTTCTATTTTTGTTAAAATGGAACCTCTCTCTTCTTGGCCCTCTCATTCTCCCTTCCTCTTCTACACCCAGTCCCTTGCCAGATCCCGTTCATTAATGCTGTAGTATTTCCAGTATCGCTGATTTCCTCTTTCCCCCAGCTGTTGCCTTATCCAGGCCCATTTATGTTGGTTTCTCTTTGATTTCTTCCCCTCCATCCAAATCTGCTCCTTGTAGGTTTCTTTTTAAATCATTACCCAGGTATTCACCACTTTCCCTCTTCTGATTCTTAATGTTTTTAGCACAGTGATTCTCAAATTTGAATGTGCACCAGAATCATCCGAAGGAAGAGACAGGCATCGCTGAGTTTTGTACCACCAGGGTTTAAAATCTAGATGAGTGTGTGTCAGGGTTGTATCTCTTCACCATACTTATTCAATCTGTATACTGAGCAAATAATCCAAGAAGCTGGAGTATGTGAAGAAGAACAATTCATCAGGATTGGAAGAAGACTCATTAACAACCATTGATATGCAGATGACACAACCTTGCTTGCTGAAATTGAAGATGACTTGAAGTGCTTGTTTTCAGTGGATTATGGATTACACCTCAACATAAAAAAAAAAAAAAAGATTGACATTTTCAGGGATTTCATTTTACTTGGCTCCACATTCAACACCCATGGAAGCAGCAGTCAAGAAATCAGTTGTTGTATTATTGCACTGGGAAAATCTGCTGCAAAAGACCTCTTGAAAAGAAGAATGAAGAAAATCTTTGGCATCTGTGACCAGGAGGCAGGTGTTGCCTCTTCACTGTGCATACCTCTTACTTTTCCCCTTCCCTTTCTCCCTATTCTCTGTCATTCTTTCCCTCTCCCCTTTTATCTTTTCTTCAAGGCTCTTCTTAGCCTTGAAGTCCTGGGTCTTTTTGGTGGTTCCCTAAGCTGAAGAAGCTTCTAATCCTTACTATTCCAAACCAAATCAAACCAAACTCACTGCCATTGAGTCAATTCTGACTCAGTGACCCTTATTGGGTTCCCTGGCCATAAATATTTATTGAAGCATATTGCCTCATCTTTCTTCTGTGGAGCGGCTGGTAGATTTGAACCACCAACCTTGGGGTCAGTAGCCTAATGCCTGAAGCACACACTATCAGAGCTTCTTGATCCTTACTAACAGACAAAAAACAAACAAATTCACTGCCGTGAAACCCAACTCATAGCGACCCCTCCTTGGGTTTCTGAGATGGTATCACTACGGAAGTAGATTGCCCAACCTTCCTTGGAAGTAGATTGGCCAACCTTCCTTCCGAGGAGTGGCTGGTGGGTGTAAACCGCCAGCCTTCTGGTTAGCAGTCAAATGCCTTAGGCACTATGCTTCCAGAACTCCTTGATCCTTACTATAAGAGACAAAATTGCTTCTGAAGTTTAGTCTTGAGTTTTTGTTGGAGTAAAGAGACAGGCTAAGAAGGACTTGTATCATAGTAGGGAATTTATAGGGTGTCTGAGTAATATCCTACACCTTGATATTTTATAGGAAAGTTCCTGCATAACTGAAAATAACCCTGGAAGTAGACACATGGTATCCCCATTTCATAGAAAACAGACTCAAAGATTAAGGGATAATAATGCATAATACAGTAGTGAAGAGATTTTTCTACTTTTATGCACATAAGGAATAACTTCTTTGCTTTATAAAGTAGTATGTTATAGTTAATAATTATGATTTGAATCTATAGGTTTTAGAAGGTTTCTAAGGTAGAGACGGTTGTATCATGATTAGAATATGTGACTGGTGATACTTACTCCAGAAAACTATTAGGAATTTTAGATCTGGAGTTAAATAAAAAAAATAACACACAGTAGATATTTAAATAGCGTGTATAAATGTATAAGCACAGAAAACAGATCTGGAATAAACATACCAGACTGTTAATAGTGGTTAGTCATTTTTTCCTTAATATATTTTTGTACCATTTAAATTAAAAAAAAAAAAAACATAAAAGCCATCGAGTCAGGTCCACCTCATAGCAACCCTGTGTGCAACAGGATGAAACACTTCCCACTCATGGCCATCATCACAAGCCTTCTACTACTTGAGCCCATTTTTGCAGCCACTGTGTTGCATCTTGTTGATGATCTTCCCCTTTTTCGCTGACCCTCTGCTCTACCAAGCATGATATTCTTTTCCAGGGAATGGTCCCTTCTGATAACATAACCAAGGTAGGTGAGACAAAGACTGGCCATTCTCATTTCTGGAACATTCTGGCTGCACTTTTCCAGAACAGATTTGTTCATTCTTCTGGGAATCCATGGTATTTTGGGTATTCATCGCCAACAGCACGATTCAAAGGCATCAACTCTTCTTCGATCTTCCTTATTCATTGTCCAGCTCTCACATGCATATGAGGCAATGGAAAATACCATAGCTTGGGTCAGGTGCACCTTAGTTTTCAAAGTGACCTTTGTTCTTCAACACTTTAAAGAGGTGTTTTGCAGCAGATTTGTCAAGTGCAATATGATGTCTGATTTCTTGACTACTGCTTCCATTAGTGTTGATTGTGGACCCAAGTAACATGAAATACCTGACAACTTCAATTTTTTTCTCCATTTATTGTGATGTTGCTTATTGGTCCAGTTGTGAGGATTCATTTTTTCAGAAGTGGATGGCCCTGTTCTTCCCAGTTTTTCTTAGTCTGGAAGCTCTGCTAAAACCTGTCCACCATGGGTGACTCTGCTTGTGTTTGAAATACCAGTGGCATAGCCTCCAGCCTCAAAACAACTTGCAAGCCACCACAGTATGACAAACTGAAAGACTAGTGGTAGAAATTATAACTTAGGGGAAACAAAAGGAAAGAGAGCTTGTAGGAGGAAGAATGAAGAATCTTAATATTAAAAAAAAGAAAGTAGAGAATCTGTCAAAACTGATCTGTCAGACATTGCCTTACAAAGATTTCCTTATTGATTCTTCCCTGGAATATATCCCAGTTCCCCATCATCTCCGCCTACCCAAACTACCCACTCTTTGAGACCTACTCTTTGAATGCCCCCTTCTTCACGAAGTCTTTTCCTACTTACTTTCTTCAAATCCCAGGCTGGAAATTCTCTCTCCCATTTTTGAACCATCCTCTTGTGGTACCACAAGTCTTTATACTGTTTTCTAATTTCCTTCAAGAAGGTGTATTCTGATCATCACAGATGTGAAGGTTCCTCTCTGAAATTAAAAAAAAAAAAATTGCAGGGCTAACATCATTGTAGTCGAATTTTCAGTTATCAGTCTGTAAAGAATGCTGAGGTTCCTATGAATATCTGGAACCCTTGCAGTATCTCTGTAGCCCCAGAGGGCTCAGCAGCTGACAGGTTGAGAACTACTACCTCTAACATTGCTTGTGCTACTGTGTGAGGATAGAAACTGTCTTCGTATCTATGACTACATGTGTCTTAGATACGAAGACAGTTTCTATCCTCACACAGTAGCACAAGCAAACTGTCTTCATATCTATGACTACATGTGTCTTTCAGAAGGAAGGTTGGGCAATCCTACTTCCGTAATGATACTGCCTCGGAAACCCAAGGAGGGGTCGCTATGAGTCAGGGCCGACTCGACGGCAAACAACAACAACACATGTGTCTTGTACATAGCAGCCAACAAATAGTACTTACTAAGTCAATACATGAAGATAACCTACAGAAGAGTGTGAGGTGGTACATATCTGCATACTTATGGGGGCTGCAAATCAAGCTAGTAAAGATGTGTCTCTTTCCACCAATACACTTTGTAGTCAGTAATTTTAACTATTAAATACTGTATGAGAAACTGACTTCCCAACAGATTGTATTGCAGTTGGCAGAGAGGTAAAACAATGGAAATAATATGGAAGAGATACAGGGAAGATTGGGAGCAGTGGTGGTTCAGTGGTAGGTAGAATTCTCACCTCCCACGTGAGAGACCCAGGTTTGATTCCCAGCCAGCGCACCTCAGGCACAGCCCCCACTTGTCTGTTGGTGGAGGCTTACTTATTGCTGTGATACTGAACAGGTTTCAGTGAAGCTTCCAGACCAAGGTGGAATAGGAGGAAACGGCTAGTGATCTACTTCGGGAAATCAGCCAGTAGCAACCCCGTGGATCAAAACAGTCGTTCCTTGTGGTGGCCATGAGTGGGGTGCTTTCTCAGCAACGGCTGGCAAGAACAACAGCATCATGGAAATAAGGCTGAATAGAGTGTCATTTCCGTAAAAGCTAAATAAAATCGGCCCTCTGAGATGTTGATATCAGGGGTTGGAGCGTGATCGCAGTGTGTGTAGTGGTGACAGGTTTCCAGTTTCTCTCCTGCTCTCTTTCCTCTTCTCTGGCAGGACTGGAGTTTGTAAGACTATGTACCCTTCTCTCCCCCACTCCCAGTTGTTCCTTTTCCCCAAGTGTCCTTTAGACAGCCATTCCTCTTAGCCCTGCTTCTTTCCAGGTGAGTGATCGATTATATTACCACATCAGCAAACTCTGGTCTTCAGTCACTGAATGATGACTCCCTGAGCAGCTGCCCTGCACAAGCTTGCTGAGGGAGTGTGGAGACTCCATTGAGGCACACAGGCTGGGTTTATTAATTCTTCCTTCTAAAACGTACCTCTGTTTTTCTTTTTCAATAGGGTAGTGATGGTGCCCGAAGATCCGCGCTACTTGATAGTGATGAGCCCTTGGTATATTTCTATGATGATGTCAGAACATTATATGAAATCTTCCAGAGGGGTATACAGGTGTCAAGTAAGCATTTTCCTGAATTTGTGTGACTAACGCTTCATATTTTTCGTTAAGAAAGAAATAGAAAACATATAATTGTCATTAAGAAAGGCAGATTTCCTCAAGTCTTTTGGTAGCTCAGTGCCTAAAGCATTTGACTGCTAACCACAAGTTTGGCGGTTCAAACCCACCAGCCAATCCATGGAAGGATGATGGGGCAGTCTACTTCCATAAAGATTTACTGCCTCAGAAACCCAGTGGGAGTCACTATGAGTCAGAATCGATTCTATGGCAGTGGGTTTTTTGATTGCCTACTTAGTATCATTTAAGTCTCCCTGTCTCCTTCCTTAACATTTCCAAAGTGAGTCCCAAAGCACAGTAGGCCCTCTAGGTATTCCCTGGAGAGAGAGTTCTGTAATTAAATAAGTTTTCAGCATCTCCTGTGTTCAGTGGAGAGTCGTGTGTACATTAGCTCATTATGGGCTCTGACATTTCCTGCAGTAAAGAGTCACTGTTTAATTGGGCCCAGTCCAGCATTTTTCATACTCACTTGACCATGAAACTTATATTTTGAGGAATAAATGCTGACATCCCCAGAAAGTAGCATTCCACCAGACACTTTTGGAAATGTTGGCTCATAGATTACACTTAATTACTAACCGTGGCACAAGGGACCCCTTGTAATCTGGCACCTGCCTTCTTTTCCAGCCTTCCTCCCTTCCAGGCCTTTCTGTAGTTACACTGAACTTCTTGCAAAGATACAACCCCTGCCTTCTCACAGTCCTAAGCATCTGTTCACTTTCGCCTCCTGAACATAAAGCCTCTTCTTCCTATCTAGCCAGGGTAGTTGATGTCTCTTACTTATCTTTTACACCTGTATCACATTTTACCTTTTCTTTAAAGCCTTCCTAGTCTATTGTTTTCATCCCCACCTTCAAGTAAGGTATCTTATGTTGTTTTCCTCCCAACATCTTACACCTACCTCTTTAATAGCATCTTGATGTATAGAGGTGTTTACCTGCCATTCTGCCCCACCAGCACCTTCACAGTGCCTGGCACACAGTAGCTGCCCCATTAAAGTATCCTCAGTGAAGGGAAGAGCAGGCCGGAAGAGCAGGGAAGAGCAGGGAAGGGGATAAAAGCTTTGAGCCCCAGGCTTACAGGCGAGGAGAGACAACGCAGGGACGCCAGAGTAGCAGGCCGGAAGAGCAGGAGAAAGGGGATTAAAAGCCAGGAA